CGCTAAATACTGCACTTTGCAGCTGATCCCACAAAATGATAGACGCCTGCTCACCAATTTATTTCTATTTGTTCCTAATTATCACCCTCTTAACGCTTTTTAGATCTGCCAGATAACGTTCGACCTTGCCATATGTGTTGCAAAGCCTTGGTAAGAGAATAATAGAATTCCCTGAAGCTATTCTATGCTATACTTTAGAAATGATTTACACTTTAATGTGTTGCTTGCTTTATCTAGAATATTTGTGAGTGATTTCTTCATATACAATTTTTAATCTAAAGAACTTCTTGTAGGTTGTCTCGCAAGAAAGAAATTAAATTTATTTTGATCGCAATATTTTGATTATAATCTATCTTTCACATTGCCATTACATTAACACTACCTCGTCAATAACGTACTGAATATGTAAATGCAGTGATAGCGAGTAAATGTAGAATAGAAACTATGAGAAATCACTAACTGGCGTGTTATGTAATATTTTCATCAAACGTATGTCAAAATATAGTCTTATGTCTAGGCACAGTATTTAATATTTGCGCAGGATACAGTTTTTCTTTTATATATATTTAAGATACAAGATAATGACTTCCGCCGTTCAAGAAACTCTCTTGAGCAACGTTGAACAAAGCTGTGCAGCAATATTTGAAACCCAAAAACCAAAGCTGTTTAATTTGCTCTTGTGACTCTCGCTAACCTCTTCGCCCGATGTATCATTACAGTTCAGGAAACATTTTCACGAACTAAAGATTGTATCATCCATAATTTACAGACGGCAGTTTTATTAGGAGTGTTATTAATGAAACTTTGATGTTGATGCGTATATGTCGTTGCCACGGGCATCCGCCGACATAAACACATTACGAGGGACAATCAGCAACAAATCTTCCAGTAATTTAACCGGGAGATGCGTTAACACCTTAATAACACAACTCAACACGAAGGAGGATATAAATAACCTTCTCCATTACGGATGGTTAAGGTCGACAACCTTTGGATATATCCGCATGGGATCCACTTAAAACGATTACCTACAGAAGATCTACAATGATATTAGCTACATCGGCGATGGTTTGTTCGTTATTTAAATTGTTATATTAATATAAACCACCATTTTGCCGATCCGGTGGCCGAGATCGCTAACGCAGTAGTGTCGTAGTGATCTCGAGGCGAAGGTTTGCGGGTTCGGGTCCCACTTCGGGCATGGTTGTATTGTGTTCGCCCTTTCACCCCTTATCATGATACCGTGTCATCCTCACAGTTTCACAGTTACCATACCGTTACAAGCAATAGTAGTCGCTAATGACCAAGAAGTTGAGGTGACCTTAAATAAAAAAAAAATGATGGAATTTTAGGAAACATTAAACTTGTTTTTGAACACTATTTTCACAATAGTATGATGTCAATAATTAGAAAAATGTATTGACTTGCAGTACATACAAAGAAAAGCTTGTGACTGCGTGAACGCAGGAGATTCTCTTGCGATAATATCTCGTACATAAAGTGCCAAATAAAAGGCCGAGTAAAATTATGCTGCGAGCTTCCTCCAATGGCATGGCGAACTACTGAACGACGCACTGACAACGTATTCTTTAGAGAAACGTTATCAGCTGCTGAGACAGTGCAAGGGAAAGTAGATGGAAGTTATTAGAGAGTATTTGCTCATCGATGCTTAAAAATAACTATGCTTTTATTCGCAAAATAATATCAAAACATTAACATTTGTTATGAAACATGTTATGTAATATCATTGTAATTCTCTTTTTATGATATATCTATTGCTAGTAAGAACAATTCACATTCCATTTACAAAACCAAAGATGATTATAGTTCTCGAAAATTAAAAAAAAAAAAAAGAAACACTAATTCTTCGTTATATTACTTGCTCCATGCTTCCGCATTGTTGAGTGACTACTGCCTTTCGATATCGTGAACAGTTCAGAAGTTATCGGGGTTGCACATAGTTGGTGGAACTCTCTGTACGTTGATAAAACCTACTTATTAAAATCACGAATCTATTTCTGTGTACGACCGTCAGACTTACGCACTCGTATCATAAATATTATATTAACAACAGCGCATACATGTTGTTGGGCACTGTGATCATAAATATTATTGGGACGGTGTATGGAGAGTTTAATTCGTTATATGTGCCATTAATGTGTGTAATTAATTGTGTTACTAATGAGGAATGTATTTAGTAGGTATAAAATTATATTTTTCTAGACAGCACTCATGTGTATGTAGCTAATCAATTTCGGGGTCAGTGAACATTTGAAGCAGCCATTGCTGTTGGCCTTCTTAAATGCGAGATAGCCATCGCAGCGGGGCGGGGTGGGGTGCAGGGTTGGCAGACGTGGAGGAAGCAGTGCGTGACCGCTGAGTCAGCCCTTCGGCCGGGAATTCCCCGCGACTCATTCACCTCACCGGGCGCACGCATATCCAAACCGCTAGATGCCTTTTGATCCACAACAGCTTGTACGTAATGCATGCGGTAGAATTTTGATGTTCTCCTTGAAGAATAATTTTTTTCTCGGATATCTCCATATTGGAAAATAGTTTAATTATCGACGATATTCTGAAATCATATTTTAATCAAGATGTTTGGAGTTCAGAAAATCAAAAACCTACTGGAAAAATGTAGAGGCTTTTTAATCAGTGTAAAAATATCGATTGGAAACGAAAATAAAACTATCACTTTTTGTGAAAGGTTTTTCAAATATTTTGTTTTCTAACATTTTGCCAAAAGTTTGAAAACGCTAAGAAAAATGTGATTTTAGTGTTTTCGCGCGCTTACGAAATGGCAAGTGATGAGCTGTTCAAATCGATAACTATGGTAAGAACTTTGGATAAACTATATATTTCGACAAGACCTATTATTTCCATGATTTAATGTACTGAATATATTGGTCCATATATGAAATATGAAAGAATATTCTAATATAGTACATTTGTCCTCTTAGTATTTAGAATTGTACTCTAGTGTGAAATGGGTTCGTGTTGTGATAAAAGTGCTGGCTACATTTTTTATTAATGTACAGTTGTTTTAAAATTAACTTACCTCAATGTACGAGTATGTTTTTAATAAGCATCTTCAGAAACAATTTCATGGATGTTGAAGTGCGAGGAAAGTATAGAGTCGTATATGATAAATGTGACAGATAAAGCAAACGGAATAGTTTGGTAATCTACTTTTCAATTATAAATAACCTCTGTGTGACCCTCATCGAGAGTGTCATATTATTAATTTTAAGTAAATATTAATTAATAGTTTGTGTATCTCGTATTTCACATTCATCATTTTATTTTACATATTACATAGCACGTCCGAATATATTTTAAATAGAGATATGTGACACTGCCAAAAAGGGCGAGATTTAAATTTCAATTCAGCTACAGAAGGGGACAAAATTCTGTCGTTCCGTGTTTTCATTTTTGGTGGACAGCACAAGATATCACGGAAATATACATAAGATTTTACCGAACATTAATATTCCTCAACTGATCTGTTTGAAGAAAGTTCTGCAAATTGAAAATTTATATTGTACATATTGTTGATTATTAAATTCGATGTTTTCAATATACTTTTCGAAGCTGAGTTATAAATTACTGCCCCATAACCCGGTTTGGACAGAATTAATTCCTTATGTGTTTTGTTTAAGCATTCAGACTGTGCATCCCATTTAAAAGAAGACAACATTTTAATTACATTTAATCTCCTAATTCAATACACCTTTAGAGCAAATACGTGAAGTTTCTACAAATATTTCGAATCGAAGGTCTTTAAAGGATTTTATAGATGTATGCTCTTTTAAGATGTACTCCAATTTTCAGTGTGACTTCTTTATCCCTAAAAGAGCGACGTTTGGAAAACACTAGAAATTCCTACTTTGTTTTTGAAATGGAGAAGTCTGAATTATTTGCCCAATTTCTGGTATTATTTAGGGTTTCTTGAATAATATTTGAAGTAAGATTTTTACCACTACACTGTAAGGTGATGTCCGCAAAAAGGAATATCTTCACAGGCTCTTCTACTATTAGACTCGCTTCATTTCTTGCAATAAGAAAGAGTATTACACTTACGACTGACCGTTGTGAGAGACCATTAGTTATCTCAATTATCTGTGATAATTTGTCTTGAATTATGACTCTCAGATAACTCAGTTTTAGAAAATTAATTAGGAAACCTAAGATATTTCCCTTATTCTTTCATATCTGCAAGAATTGATATTATCCTGTCTTTATACACCATTTCACAAGCTTTTGAATGTCAAGTGCGATTGGAATCGCATGACGGTGCATAACTAATGCATCACAAATTTCCGTGTCTTTGTTTACTAGGTGATCGTTGGTTGATCTAAAGGAATTTTGATGTTGTGAGATTAGGTAGTGATTTTCTAAGATCCATCACCGGCGGCCACAGACCATTTTGTCTAGTAGTTTACGTATGTTACATGTGAAGGATATTGGGCGAAAATTGGTTGGTTCGGTGTGATCCTTGTTTGGTTTAGGTACTGGTACGACTGTTGCTTCTCTCCACTGGTTGGGGAAGGGGGTTGAGTGTTCCAAGTATATTTATATAATTGAAGTAGATACTCAAGGCCGGCTTCAGGGGGATTTTTTAGAAAGCTATTTGGTATATTATCTGGTCCAGGTGCCGAGTTATAACATTTATTTAGCACGAATGAAAGTACACTCCTAATGAGTAATTGGTTGTGTTATTTATTTTGTTTTAATATTGCCTTGATATGTTCATGATCTGGACTAATAATGAAATAATAGTCATACTAGTGAAATTAAAGTGTAATCAGAGTAATTAGTGAAAACAAAGTGAACTGTGGTAAAATTGACAGTGACGAAATGAAGTGTTACTTATTTTGTGTGTAATTTTACGTTTCTATTTCCTTATTTGTTATATGTAAATAGCGTATGTACGAGGAAGTTCCGGATATGTGTGCTCGGGAATTTTACTATTGTGTAACACATCCGACAATCTCTACGGGATGTTAGCGAGCTATAATAATAATAATAATAATAATAATAATAATAATAATAATAATAATAATAATAATAATAATTGTAACAGGTTGGGAGTGTCGGAGTAAACGTGTGAATAGTTGCAAAAATGTCATATAAACAAATCTTAAGTATCCATGTCTTCATGTGGTGTATCATTCAGAAAGAAAAACAAAAATGAAGTAATTCGTGATATGCACTATGTATTTTTCACAGAACTTTATATTCATTAAACGAGATTTCGGAACAAGGACATAAATTAGAAAAGTTATTTCGCTGAGGGAGAAAATTATTTGATAATCTTTTTTCTGTCTTTGAAGGCGTCGTTAAAAATAGATTGGGAGATTAAGTTGGAACCTCTTGTATGGAGACATGTGCGGCGGGACTCAGAAAGATAAGCTTGTTTAATTTTGATAGAAGTAATTAACACATCAGGATTCACGCTGTTTTAATTAAGATCCCTCCTTCCTCTCTGCCCAAACGACGCTTAGCACGAATCTCGCAGCTTAAGGGGCGTAGAATTACGTGAGCCTTAAAATGAGAAGTGTCGTTAAAAGAAGTGGTAATAACTTTGCAAAACAGAACACTTTTAATGAGATGTAACTTGGAGGATTTATAAAAATTCATAAGTTGTGTAACTTCTTCGGACGCAGAGACAAGAATGTCTTTAGTAGAATAATTTCAGAAGACAAACAATGGAATGTGTTTAGATTTTACCTACGTTTTTTGCACTTCACGTTCATGTGCCTTCCCAGTTCCTTCAGGTAGGAGAAACGTCACTGCAGAAAGACAATACAATTTTTTCTCAGTTTATAATGTGGAAGTTTACAAGAATTGTACACAGGCCTGTTACGTGCGAAAATGCAATGGTTAAATATTTTTATTATTACTGGTACAATTACGTTAGTTCTGAAATTAAGACAATATAAGCAAGAATTGTATGGGAAATTGAAGATTAAGACAATTGTAGATATCGTTTGTACCGGGGTTGTCTATTTCAATTTTCTTAAACATTCACTCTTGATTTTTGTCGCCCATGTGCTTTGTAGATTTTTTCATTTTCCCTTAGTAATACTTTTGCCTGAATCTAATACTACGCCAACATTTGAATGCTCAATGCTGTTTGAGTGATCATTTTACCATCAAAACTCTCCAAACGTAAAAAAGAGATGAAAAGATAAAGAAGTTGACATAATAAAAGCTATGACATGTTCCATTTACGAAATATTGTTGTGATGTTATCAACAAATTAAGACGTTCTAGAAAATATAATCATCAATGAAAGAAATGAATGTCAAAAGATTTCAAATTAATGATTTCAGTTAGTAATTATTTTCAGTTACAATAGTCAATCATTAAATTTCCAACATAGAGTTATGAAATTGAGTTCTACGTACGTTTTATACAGATTGTGGTCCCAATCAATTGCAACTTCACAATGGCCACGATATGTTTTATTTTGTATGTAGTAAGTGTGTGTTATGATAACTTTTTGAAGGAACTAAGTTTTTAGTGAATGTAATTGTGAAGATTATCTCTTCACTACGTGGCATAGATTACTACACTACTATATTGTAGCACCAGTGCTGTTTTTCAATTCATAACTGATTAATTGTATCAATGGTTTATTTACAATAAACAAATATCGTGAATTTCAAATTTATCTCATTTAATTTATCCTAATCCAAGCCCACACTTTCCACAATCTTCCGAATGACCCTGAATCTTTCCACATTGAACCTTGGTGAACATTTAATCAAAATATTTGAATTCGTTCCCGTTATCCAAAGACATATTTAATTCCTTTAAATAAAAACAATTATTATATACATTTTAAAAAATATTTTAAAAATTTAAAATTTGAAATTTTTTTACAAAAAAATTAAACACGAAAATTACGAGTATTAGTTTGCCTGTCTTTTATCCTCTATTCTGCCTAAATATTATACAACACTATAAAAATATAAACTACCCGTGAATTTTTGAACGGAAAGTAAATGAAATTATTAAAAGGGGTATCTTTTGATAATTTAGTTTTTTATTAGGTAGAAACCAATAAAGAACATTCAAGGGCATGCATTAAAAAATATTAATTTATACATTTTTGTTTAAAAAAGAGAAATTTCAAAGACACAATCATACAATAACAATTTTCACAATCTTCATATATCTTAGACCTTCGACAAAACAACACACCAAGCCTTAAACCACAAATTAAAAGAAATATGCATTTCGCAGAACCTTACTCATATCTTTTCTACTTTGCTCAGCAATAGAAATTAAATGTTAACTTCAAAAACCATCCCACTCATCCGAAAGACGTCAAGGCAGCCTTACCTAAAGGTTATCCGTAATGCCCTGCCCTATATAACTAGGGTAACGAGAAGCCGACCTTTACCGAAGTATATTATTTTATTTATTTTATTTAATAGGTAATTATTACAAACGAATTAGGTTACTTGATCCTATGTGGCTAGGCCGAAGGCTTTTAAGCCATTACAATACCTACATCCTTTCGCGTTCTAATCTTTCGAATTCTGGTTTTCACCCCAAATGGTCTCTCCATCGCATCAAAGCCGCGGTAAAGAGACCACAAGGTACGGTTTAGGAAAAAAACCCTGAAGGGGGAAAAACCTGCCGTCAGAAGCCGAGTACATTCTAATCTATCCGACGTTTATTTTAACTATTTTATTTTCTGGCGCGGGCGTCCCGCCGTCTCCTTCCAGTGCTTGGCCTCCTCAGCACATGAAATCAAACGGCGCCACAGAAGATCGTCCGCACCAACGCCTCTGCTCTTACATTTTCGATCCCCCCTTCCCCTCACCCCCTAATGTGCTTATTACTACGCCAGTTTTATTTTATTTATTGTATTGACCAGTTATTTACCAATTGACTACGACTTAGGACTTATTTCTTAACTGTTTACTAACTTAACATAAAATTATGATTAACTTACTTATTGTTAGCTTATTGACTTATTAATTTCTCTCCAGTCTAGGCTCTGCTCAAGCTAACCAGTGCTGTTTTCCCACTCTCTAATTTCAGTTTCCCTAATGGTCCGGACCTTTCCTAAAAATGTTCCTAATTCTTTCATAAATTTATATCTTTTGTCACCTAAAATGTTTTGGGCGAGAGTTACGTTCCTGTTTAGGAAGTAGTAATTTCCCATCCATTTTTTCTCCGAAGTATATTGTGACCAATCACGTAGTGCCGCTCACGTGAGGCAGGCACCACAAAATTGAAATGCCCGCGTGATTTCCACCTAGAAGTCGACAACGCTACCTAGGCTAATGAGTTCTGAACTCTCGCCGACCACCGACTCCAAGGAATAAACACTGACAGTCGGTTGGAGTGGCGAGTGCGTGCGTGCGTGGAGACTAAAAGAGGATTCGGTTAGTGAGATTGGAAGTGAGCAGACGGCGGTGCGTGGAGACTGGGAGACCGAACTGATCCCAGGAGTGAGGCGTCGAGGCAGAGGCATCGCAAAGAAGCTGGTCCCTTCGCCGCAACGCGACCCGCGATCTTACGCGAGAGGAGGTAAAAAGTTTTTCAGTTTCTGCGGCGGGGCGGAATCCCCGGCTGATTATCACACGATTTCAGAAGAAAGAGTTTGTGCAATGTCTGCCAGCTTTGGCATAAACCATTTTCTATCTTGTCATTACAGTCACTATGGTTCTCTTGAGCACAGATATTGCTCACTCTGATTTTACATCCTCACAACTAGCACACTTTCTTGATACTGAGGTCTCTAAATTTGCGGTTCACCCATAGATACAAAGAACTTGTATCTGTGGGTTCATCCTTCAGACAGCAAAACTAAGTAGTTGAAGATACTAGCCCAATGTGAAGTGCCAATTGAAAAGTTTAACGAGGGAATAAAGAATAAAATAAATTATTTGTAATATTATTTTAAAAAAAGAAATGGTTTTTTGCTTGATTTTAATAAATATTATTAAACAGTTTGCTATAAAGTACGTAAAATACTAACTATAATACTACTTAATATTATTGAACCTTAGTACTTTGAGTTCGTAGTTGAGTTTTAATAGATCATTATTTTACTACCATTCCATTTTCTGTTTATTCTATTTATCACTGGGAAACTGTTTTACTCCAATACAATTCTCCTAGTTTTCTCATGCTCACTTATTATGTTATTCTGTCATCTTTTCTCTTTTTCATTTTCTCTGATCTCTATCATTTTATGACATTCTTTTTTCTAAAGTGACGAGACAAGAATGTACAAATGACGTACATATTCGAAGAGTACTACGGGGCCCAAAACTTATAAATGGTTCATGGTATTGAAATGCAGTTTGCGCTCAACAATGAGGAATTGAGGGTCAAGTAATATGCCGTAGACATATAGTTTGAAATATTTTTAGTTTTCGTTTAATTTAATCTTTGATTTTTAAATCGGAACTCTATTTTTCTCACTTGCAATGGATAGATAATAAAGAGAGGAATACAATGATGTAATATAAGTTACTGGTTTGATAGGTATTATAGGACTATAAAATTATTCTTTCTGACATGTGATTTTAAAATTAAAATTTACAATACTATTTCCGGGAGCAGCTCTTGTAACTGTCGCCTGTCAGGAAGGTGGACTTCGCGGCGTCGTGACTATTAAGGGGAGGGGGAAACTGAGTGGGGTGGGAATGAGAGAAGAGACGGAGAGGCCTTGACGACAGCACTTCATGTTCTTGTCACGACGGGCACGGAAACAAACATCAATATTAACGATCAAAATCAGAGATTTTTCATTGATTCATCAGACGACTTTTTCTTCAACTGGTGGAAATTCCAAAGCATAGATTTACAGCGCCACAAAACACTGGCAGTCAGATCGCAGACCCTTGCACACACGACTACAAAGGTGCATTGGTGTCAATGGCGGACACAGAGCGCAAAAGAAAAAAAATATTCGGGTCATATTTGTATTGTTTCTCTATTGTCATCTACATCTTGTTTTATTTTTGTAAATTTACTATGAGAAATTGAGATCAGTAAATAATAAAAAAATTTCCACCTATCTATAATATCAAGAACTATGTGAAGATCTTTTAGTGAAAATCTTAAAACATTAATTCCCTTCCCTTGTTTTTGAAATATTTTAAAATGCTAGCTTGTTTTTTCAACTTTTAAACATGTCATGTACACTTATTTAACATTAAGCTCGATTCTTCTTAAGTTTTAAAATGATCTTTGTTACTATCTTCCTTCTACTATGTGCTTATATGGTTCATTTGAAAGAGCGATGTCTTGGAATTTCAATAACTGGAAGAAAGGGTTAATTCTCACGATTCAATGAAAAAATTAGGTTGTGTTTGTTAATATTGATGATTGTTCCTCTGCCCTTCTAGTCAAAGCCACAGATTTATCAAATTGCGTGTTTTCTTTCACCGCCGCCCTCTGTGCCCCCTCTCCCCTCTCCACCATAACAGTTCGGGACCGACAAAGGAAGGCCACCTTCCTCAAGGGCAAGAGCAATTAAGGAAATTTTGTCCGTTCAATTGAAAATCACATATCAGAAAATATTTTTTATTCAAATTAGAATAAAAACGTTAACGAATTATATATTGCTGTAATCCTATTTTTATTATCGATTCAATTTTAGTAAGAAAAAATACACTTTCGTTAAAAAATAGATGATGATTGAATTTTTCAAAAACTAAAAATATTACAAACCATCTCTCTACGGGATTTTACGTGTTCCACGATTTTGCATGGTTGGACGAACACTGCATTTCGATATCGTGAACCATTCAGATGTTACGAGGGTGACTTGTAGCTGGTGGGGCACTCTGTATATGAAGGGTACATTTACTGTATAAATGTAACCAAATATTTTGTCAATAGAGTAAGCCCCGATTAATTAGAGGTTTAGACTGAAAAACCTCTACTAACGAATCGTTATTTAAAACACTCATTTGCAACGAAGTATCGAGTGGCCCAAAAATATTACATAACCTCTCATTATTTCGATAAACTCAACAATTAATTTAAATCACGGTAATTGCACGCAGCTTGTAAATATGGATCGACGAAAACAATTATATTGTTCGTATATGTAATCATTGGATGATTTTTTAAAATGAAGCTTTAAACCGAGGGAGGGACGTGTGCCTGAAACTGACATAGCTCGTGCCTCTCACACATTCTGGTCTTCAAAAGTGGATTACCAGAGAGCAGCCCTGTTCAAAACAACATCCTTACAAGCGTTGAGTTGTAAGGTTAAATATGCCATCAACGCCCCGTCGCCGGCATCTTCTTACAGGAAATGATAATCTTTCTAAAAAACTAAAAATAATAATGTAATTACAAGACTTCCAACTTACCGTTTCCCAAATCCTATTAACTTCCCCAAACATTAAGAAGTTATTACTATTATTGTTAAGCAAGTCATTCATACTTCGAATTGTATAAAACCTACAACTCGTGGAACCGAGAAGCTCTCGATCTTGTCTTTGCAATCTTAAAAAAAATCTTCCTGTCCATCATCAATGTCAACATGAAATGAATGAATGCTCGTGAAATTCAGAACTGTATAAGTGATATTTGATGAATTCTGAAAAAAAATGTTTATATTAGGCTATATTTAAGGTTTTAATGATTGAAAATAGTTTTAATGATGACACAAAGCATCACGCCTTTACAGTGATATTGAATGAAATAAAAAATATCTCTCAGAATTGATAAAGCGTGACCTATACCATGATTGGAGCAGTCCATCTACGGTTAAATAGTGATGGGAAAGGCCCCCTTGACCGCCCGTGACGCGCGAATTTGAATATTAGGCTGAATGAATGTTTGGTATCTCTAACTTTTTGTAAGAATAGAGTAAAATTCAGTGAGTTCAAAAGAAGAAAGCTGTTTTAATTTTAGCTTCTGAATTAAAGAAACACATGGTATATTTTTTTCTAAACCCTTGAGTGCTTGGTTACAAAATTGTCAAGCTATGGATGAAGTGTTGGTAGAATAGATGTTGTAACAATATTAGACACCATTCAAGAAAAAAATGTGCTGTTGCAGCATCACTAGTTCTTTTGTGCTCGAATTCAGCAAAGTTGGCATAATAATATGACGTAGATCCAATTTTCATTAAAATATCTGAAATTTAGGAAATTGCAAACTTTCAACTTTCTTTTGTGACACTAGTATTAAAGCATTTACAGTGAGACTGATGAGACAACTGCTTATGAAACATATGAGTTGAAGTTCAAATCAGCCCAGGAAAATATTCTTTTGAATTGTAAACACGTTCCAACCATTATAATTACATAATAGTTTCAAATGTTATAGCGCTGTTATAGAACCACTAGTTAAAATTTGAAGTTGTTGGCTGGTATTATGAATACAGAACGAAATAAAAATAATTTTGATATGTATACGTACTACATTGGAAAAGCTAGTCTTGCATATTTTCTTGGATATCGCGCTACTCATAAAAATATGTCAAATTTACTTAAAGTTCACTTCGCCAGGAAGGACGAGTAATTTGACTCCATTCTTAACTCTCTTGCAATTGGTCCAACAGCCGCCTCCCTTTCCCTTCACGAACAGAGCAGCCGAGCGTCCCCATGACATCAGCGTGCGCGGTTTCTACCAGACGTTTCGCGTACAGGCCAGCAGGCTACTAGAGTAATGACACGTTCCTTCAGGTATACAACGTCTTCATTGTTTGTATCCTTCAAAACAAGCAACTCTACTTGCGATTCTCCGGTTCATTGTCAATGACACCCAAACACTAAGTCCATATGTTTAATCCCGTTTCGAGACTTTGCACTGCGCGCGCACACACACACACACACACACACACACACACACACACTCAATCACATACACACTGGTATGAAGGCAAGTTGCGCCAAGTAGATAACTTTGTTCTGAGGAAATCCTGTTTAAAACTATATTCAAACAGCGCAGCGAGCGGCAGAAATTGGTATAATTAGCGGAGTAGAAGCAGCCCTAATTGGAGAGAAATCTTGAGGGACGCCGGCGGCGAGGGCGACTGTCTCCGGCCCCGCCCCTGCCACCGCCCACGCGACCGCCTCCGCCTCTGCCTCCGCCTCTGCCTCCGCTCCCGCCTGCCCGTTTGCCTCCGGCCCACTTTTCCAGGCGGAAGACTCCATGCTCAAGAATTAAACGTATTCAGAAGTTACCGCGACTTGGGAACTTGCCGCCCGCCCTCCTGCTCACTCGTCGGCTGGAGAGCGCCGCGCGGAGCGAAAACACAGGCGGCAGCGGGAGCGCGGGCGGAAGCGGGGCATGGGCGAAGGGGGACGAGAGTGCGGACAGAGGGAGAGGGCGAGAGTATGGGGAAGGCAGGTGCGAGGGCGAGGGCGAGGGCGAGGGCGAGGGCGAGGGCGAGGGCGAGGGCGAGGGCGAGGGCGAGGGCATGTCATCACGATCCTTTTTCTCACCTGCTGTTTGGATTAGTCTATTTCTTCTTTTTCTTCCTTTCCTCCTCAACCACAATATTTCTTCTTCTTTCTCATTTCCCTTCTTTTCTACAGGTTTTTTCTTTTACTTCACATCTTGCTCATTTCCTCATCTTCGTATGATCCTCATTTTCCCCCTCCTCCTCTTCTTACTCATTTTTGTTGAATAAATTTTATAGTTAACGGTTAAACAAAGAAACAGATGTAGACTGACGGATGGTAGGACGAACCAATAGATGGACGGACTGACGGTCAGACTGGCCAACGGACAGAGCTCCGGACGTTCGGACGATCAGACTTTTTGCCGGAAATCAGTTTATCGGTAGCGAGGACTCGAAAAACTGCTAGTTTTGACAACTTTTCTTATTCGAGAAGAGTCTTTACTACGTAAGAAGAAAGAAAAATTCACTCCTTTGGTAGAAAGGAGCTTCTGAGCACATATTCCTGCAGCATTTATATCTGCAACAATATATGTTCAACTATACAACGTAGGAGTATGGACAAAGAGTAAATTAGGGAGACAGCTAGTTAGTGTTACTGTTATTTACTAAACCTTTTTGGAATATTTAGACTAATTTTACCTAGTCCTAATTCAACTTAGTTTCTTTTAGAAATTCTGCATAACAATCCATAGTAATTTTACAAACACCGATAGCATGAAGGGCAGATACATCTTTGCACTCCCTTTCTCTACGCAATGGGGACGTATGCAACCAGCAGACAAATGTACCACTGCTCCTCGGACGTGTTTTATTCAGACCAAACATGTTGCATGCTAGTATCTGATATCTGTGATCTCTGCAAATATAAATGCTTCAGAGTGAGCACGTTTGTTACTTGTATGTAGCATCTTATAGTAGGGCAATGTAGGAATGTTTTTTGTTATAATGTTACTTCGTATTGAATTTGTGTCCTGTTAGTGCTTCTCTCTCCACATGGACGTAGAAATTCAAAGAGGGTGCTCGTTCTGTTTCCTGTTAGTGTTAAACATGATTGTTTCATTTAAGAATAATTATACATCTAAGTCACATTTTCTCTTTTATCTCTTGGCTTCATAAGGAATTGCTTGTGGAATTGTGATGTAATGGGTCATTTTTTTTAAAAAAATTTCTATATATTACTAGAACTATTATTTGTTAATTAAGGAAATCTATAGGAAATATTACGATTTAACAGCATAAACGTTAAGATTATAAAAGAATTGTGAAGTGCGAATATTTTATGTAAAAAATCTTCGTGCATTG